AAAAAAACTTTCCACATACAAAGTTCCTCTATAAACTTTCCACAAGAGGTGAACAGAAAAAGTAATCTGCAGCTTTACATTACTTTCACAGTACAAAAGAACCCTTTTTAAAGTTAAAAATAATTAAATAGTCTAATAACTTGAAATACAGGTATTTCGAAATTAAAAGTTTGCAATTTCAAATTTTTAGTGCCTTTGCAAAAGAAACACTAATTTCTATACAACTAAATACTATTAAAATGTAATGCATGGGTCAATTTGAAACAGAATGGCTTTATAATGTGCCTTTTCTAGTAGGGTGACATACACTTCATAAAATGTGCATTATGTCCATGTAGATTTTATAAAGTCTATGCAAGACAAGGAGTTATATAAATACCAAAAGGCCAGAAAAGGCCAAGAATGTGTGTAGCATAAGAGGTTCCTACACTCCACATGGCAAGGAGAGATGCGGGGACCCCAACCAACAGCTCCTTCACATTAGAGGCCTAAGTGAGATGATGACACTGCAGAGATTCTGAACTCCACATCGGCCCAATGTTTTGAAAACTACAGGAAATTAACAGATGAAGAACTTCATTAATGTCAAGAAGCAACCTTACCTTAAAGCTGAAGTTAGCATGTATATTAAGAACATTTTAAAAACCTGAACAATAGAGGTAAAGTAACTAAACGGTCAAATGCTTTCATGGAGGTTATAAATAAATGCGCAGCAGCTTAGACAACAGAAAGAAGTTATCCTGAAATACAGAACTCAGGGATAAACTAACTTCCCTATCTAGCTCATGTCTAGCAGTGCGAGATCAATTTGATTACAGATCGAAAGATAGATCTGTATCTATACATACACACACACACAAAAATTCATGGGGGGGGGGGGGGGGGAGGGTGCAGGGATGGAGCACTGCCACCTAACCTGTGGTGTGCCACTTCACCTCCGGCCCTGTGCACTCTGCCCTGCTTCCCCCTCTCCCCCCAAAGTGTCTGGCCCCGTGCATCACTCCGTGTCTGCCCTGTCTGGCCCCCCCACCTTACCCGCTGCTGCTCCCAGTGTAGCCCTGTGCGCCCCTCCCACCCCCTGCCACTCCACCCCGCACTACTGTTGGCTCCCAGGAACAGGGGGGAGGGAAGTTTGCATGCAGTGCCAGCTGCCGACACCCAGCAGCATGCAATATACCCCACTCCCTGCACCTCCCTCCTCCTCTCTGCCGGCTGTTGTCAGGGCTGGGCATCAGTGGTAGCAGCACTGGGCAGCAGAGGGTGGGGGCGCGGTGGTGGAGGGGCAACACTACTCGGAACCCTCCCCTTCCCACTCCCCTCCCTACCCTTTTCCCTGCCACCTCCCCCTCTCTGCTGGCTATTGTTGGAGGTGGGAGACGGAGCAGTGGCTCCCTCTATCCATAACACTTCGGGCTCTCGCAGCCAAATAGGCATGCACCCTCTCAGTGGGGCATGCACAGTTGGCCCGGAACATTATGGACGGACTAAGGCCATTATTACATTAGATAGCTATCTGTCTCTGAAAGAAAAGAAGTCTTCAGGAAGAGAGTGGATCCAATATATACACTTTTTTCCCCTTTTATATACATCTTGAATCACTAAACAAGACACTCTTCCTGAAGACTTTTTTGTTCCTTTATTTGTTAGGTAATCCAAGATATCTATCTATCTACAGATAGATACATCTCTCTCTTGCTCTATCTCTATATGTATCTCTCTCTCTCTCTCTCTAAAATGTGGAACTATATGCATAGTTCCATATATGTGATATATTTATGCATCTTGTATTGCCTAACAAAAGAAAAACATCTTCAGGAAGAGCATGAGTAATCTTAAATGTTTTAGTTTTCATCTTGTTAAATTACATAGTCTGCTAATGTTACAGTATTTTCAGGTATGGGATGTAATATTAGCTACATAAAAGGTGGCAGTAAGAAGCTAGAATTTCAGAGTGGCTTAAGGCTGACTGTCTCAGTGGAAAGGTGGATGCACAATGTTTTCCAAACGTATACAAAATGTTGTAGTCTCTTGATCACAATGGGAAAGTGGGGAGAAGGAAGCGTCTGCATATGAAGATGCTGGTGCTTGAAACCACTACTAGGAGTGCTATTTTATCCTGGTATTGAACAGATAATGAAACAATAGTCTCATCAGTCTGAGGTTTGGTACAAGAGCAAAGCAAGGTTGATATTTCACATAAATAATATTTAAGTGCATCTTAGAAAATATAAACCAAAATAATGTTGATTTTTGTACGTAGGAAGTAATCATAATGTAATTCTGGAAGTTTTATTTGTTTTTAGATTATGAATCCAGAGACCTTGTCTTCCTCCCATTTTTCTGGGAAAACTAAAGGGAAGTTGGGTGGGAAAAAGCTATGACAACACAACCAGAACTTAGAAAACAGAGCAGAAAAGAAATTTGATTGGATTTGTTTGAAAAGTTTTTAAATTATTAAAATTTCAAAAACCTGACTAGTCAGCTGTGGGAAGTATTTGTTCAAGAAAAATACTCCGGTCTTTTAAACAAACAAAGTTTTCATTTTAGTTCTCTGTGCTTTCAAAGAGGATTACTAAATATAGGATAGATATGGTTACAAAATAAATAAATAAAAACAGGTAGATAAACTGAAAATGTTTTCAGGTAAATCAAGCAAAGTAGCATAAAAAATCCACCCCTATTTTCCCCCTTTGCAGTTTACCTTTATCATCAATGTGTTGTCACAGAACATTTCTTTTGACTCTTACCTGTAAATTCACCAGGCTTCCAAATCTGCTGAAGTGCTCGTTAAGTTTACTGATATTATTAAGTTCTGGAGGAACTTTCCTCAATTCAAGCTTTGTATTTTCATTTCCAAACTGTACCTTCTTCTGAAATCCAGGACTGTTTGTTCTGTTGAAATTTTGCCTGCAATAAAATTTGAAAGGAGAAATTCAGAGCGCCTCTAGTAAAAAAAAAAAAAAAAAAATTAAAAAAGGATATCCCAAGCAGTTCACAGGCAGGTCTGAATCCTATTTAAAATATTCTCATATAATTCTTTCATGGGACTTCAAGTTATTCAAACAAAAATTGAAGTCGATGTGAGCACAGTGGGGAAAGCTGAATAAGAAAAACGGAATGATTAAGTTTCTACTGTTCTGCCAAATACTGAGATCAGAACGATGTCAAAACAGTTAAACATGTATATAAATAAGGGCAACCACTTTAGCAGCTCAGACTTTGTTTTTTCCTCTCCTTCTGAGCAATTAAGAAGCCAGTTATACTCTTGAAAGGAAAGCTCCTAAATATTTTACTCTAGACTACAAGGAGCAAACTCCAAGGCTTAGATCTACCATTTATAGAGATGTTTCAGAAACCCAAAAACATTTTCTACTAGCTTGCTCAGTTTCCCAAACATGAACTTCCTTAAATTCAAATGATATTACTACATAGTTTTAATGACCACTCACTTGTCAAACCAGGTCTTCTTTGTAGGAATTCCACCATCCCCTGCACCAATTGTTCTCTTCCTGGACTCAGAATCCACCACTATCCTCATACTGCTCTTATTTGGCGGCTTCTCTGTACACAGATGTGAGATAATATATTCATTCTCTGGTTTTCTTTAAGTTTTGCACCAATATGTTTTTGCTCTTCAAAAACTATCAAATAACTTTATACTGAAAAAGATGCTATGTTCCATAGATTAAAAACTAAGTACTGCCTTTATTCCAACTAGTGGAACTACTAATCCACTATTTCAGCCAATTCACTGATGAGAAGCCTAATGACGTCCTAATCTCACTTAGTGACTGACTTGTGCCCTGGGACATAAAGAGCTCAATGTCTCATTAGAGAGATTTCTGGTCAGTGAGCAAGCACAGCAAAAGTTATCCGCCAGAACAGACCTAGCCCACTTTTAGTACCATAAACAAGAAGTGGCTACCTGATTTGGCTCAATGAGTCAAGTCCAGGGGCAGGGTTTCCATGAGCTACAGTATGTACCTCCAGCAACTGGGCAGCTGCTTGAGCTGCTGCGCTGGCACTGCTCCAGAAACTAGAGGGTAAACACTGCCACTGCTCACACCCCACCCCCTTTTCCCCTGATGCTGATGTTAGTCAGTAACAGCTACTAAAACCATCAAATTTGGCTGTGGGCAAGGGGATGAAGGGACAAGCACCAGCAGCATTTACCCCCTGTGTTTTGAAGCCATGAGAACATAGCAGCTCTGGCAGCTGTGCCTACAAGCTCTGTGGGCAGCAATTTAGCCCCACAATTTAACCACCAGTTGGATAACCTGGATGGTCTGCAAACAACGCTGACATCCAGCTATAATTTCTGTAAAGGTCTATGTCCAATCATGGAATAACACAGAACAACACAAACTAATTGGAAGTTAGACACAACATTATGTATAGCTAGTCAGAAGCTGGCTAGTGAGGAAGCTTCTACTGAAAAGTAATTGAACTGGGAAGCTCCTTAGTAGAATGCACATATAGCCTATCATAGATCTATATTGTGATTGTATCCTTGTATTCTCTTCCCTCTGCATGCTGTTTGGCTTACTAGACTTGACTAATAACCCTTAGATGGAGACTGTTTTCCTGTGCCCGTAGGCAGTACCTGCTGCCACACAACAGTTTACCTTCTTAAGTTTTGTTACAGGATAGGAGAATTCTGTGCATCATGTTGTACCTAACTGCTATGCATTTCAACAGCCAATTTGTTTTTTTATATATGTGTATATTTAAGATTAAATTTTATATATATATATGATTAAAATGAAACATACATACATATACACATACACACACATATATATATAAATGTTTCATTTTAATAATGGAACAACATGGATTTTGGGTTATTTTTAAGTCAGAAAATTTAGTAGTTTGTTTTTTTTAAAATCAAGAGAAAACCAGGATCTCTGATCATCAACCATGGGTTGTTCTTATTTCTATTTTGCTCATTTCACAGAAAAACAGTGTCTTATAAAACTGCAGTGGGCAGCCTTAAAAAGTTACCACAGTTACTGTTAACAAAAGAAAACAAAAATAATGACAACTTTCATAATACCTCTGGGTGGCAGATCCATATCGCCTGATGTAAGCCCTATCAAATTAGGCCGTTGGGCATGAACTCTGTGCCTATACATAGGCCTCGAAGTGTTTGTTATACTTGGAGCTTCAGGATTATACCCATCTGTGTCATATGTTTCTGGTAATAAAAGAAATTGTACAATAAAAGTAAGTTGCAGCTATAAAATCCTAGTTCTGAGAGCCTGCCATTACCTATGGTTCTGACAAATAATAATCAGTCATGCAATACCACCCTCTGAAAAAAAGTCACCTGAGTTTTAGTAAAACAGAGTTAAAAGATTCTTGCACTTGCATGCAAATTTTCAGATCAGACAATAGTTAAAAGCAGACATTTACAGTTTAATTTCTGAACTTCAGAGGCAAGGACTGTCTGCCCCAAACAGTACAAATGTACAACAACTTCTAGGAACCATGCTATTATATATTAACCACTATTATTCTATTTAGCAAACACCATGGACAAAGTATCAATACCTGCTGTAAAGAGAGAGGGTGGTACAGGAGGTGGCTGGTGATGAATACCCGTTGTAACAACAGTAGGAACAGAACTTGTTGCTGAGTTTGGGGGAGCATCCATACCAGCAGGTTGTAAAGGTGGAAGCGGAGGTGGTGGTCCTGTCAAAACCAAAAAGGACACTATTTCATTTTCCTTTTTATCTCCTTGACAATGGATTCAAGCTCCTACAACAGATTACTTAGAGCAGAGGTAGACAATCTTTTCCTGCTTGCAGATCAGAATGACCTGCCTGCAACCAATGCTTGTTCCTAAGGCCATACAGGGAGAGTGGTCACAACCAAAGCCCTCTGTTGCTGAATGCTGCCAAAGCTGCACGTCTGGCAGGCCCATGAGCCACACAGGCTGCCAACCTCTGACAGAGAGGTTACAAAATGTCTAGCCTTGGAAGTGTTTAAATAACACATTAAACAAACACTTGTCTGGAATAGTTTAGACAGGGACAAACCAATCTTAAAAAGGGCACTGGACTACATGAACTACTGATGTTCCTTCCAGCCTCCTTTTCTATGACTCTACCCAAGGCCCCAATTACACAGGCAAGGAACGGCATTTGAAGCATGTGTTCAAAAATACTTAATTAAATGCTTCACAGGAAGAAGACTCATTGATTCATGTAAAGCTGTTCTCACTGGCACCTTAAACTATGTTAAAATACAACTTACAGACAAAAGTTACAGTTTAACACTTTTCACACACAAGACCAAATATTCATTGCCAACCAACTACTTTATTTACATAGTGAATATCCCTAACTAAACTGTTTAAAACACAAATTAGATATTACAAATTTAGTAAAGCAAAAAAGACTCTACAGTATGCAAGTACGCACAATTTAATTTGTCAAAAACCACAACATTCTCAAGAATATAACAATATTACAGAGGACACTGAAGATCAGGCAAATTACGCCTGACGTTTAAATTATCAACAAATACACATTTTGGATGTGGCAGAAGGTAAAGCAAGCATTTAAGAAAAGCAGAATGTTGATACTATTTTTTGTTCAAAATGATACCATCAATTTGAAATTGAGGCAATGAATTTAAAGTTGTTTCAAGTATTAATTACTGTTTAACAGTTCTACCAGACCATTGTGATTTATGTTTGCATCACACTGAGAAAGAAGGACAGGAAGTTACAAAGCCACCATGTCAAATGTGAAATTTTCAAAGCTTCCTAGAGGGTCTAGACACCCAATTCCCACTAAAACAAGGGAGAACCGTTTTCTGAAATCATTTTGGAAGCTTTCATAATATCATACTTGCAACTGAAAAAGGAAACTCACTGAAGAAAAGTTTCTTTCTTTTCCCTGTTCTATTATCTTGGGTGTCACAAATAATAGCAGACACAATATTTTCAGACATTTAATTTGCTGTGCTTTGGGTTTCTTTTAGACCTTGACAAGTTCAAATCAAGTGCTCCACAGAGGATTTTGCGGATTTTAAGACCTCTTCCCCTAACTCTTGTCAAAATCTGGCTGTTTGAGATGTCAACACAAGCTATTTCAGGGATAGTACCTGCAGCGATTAAAACTATGAATCTGAAATTAAAATAAACAATTTATGAGTATAAAAAAAATACATATATTAGAGAAATCAAAGCATTTTGGAAGAAGCTTGTTTAAAATCCATTTTAATCAACTGATCATATTAAATGTTGCCTGTTAGTCTGTTATGTAGGCCAAATAACATGAATGCATTCTGCATCTAGAAAAGTTCTGCAAATAAATATTTTTAAATTTTATTTTTACCTGTAACAGGTGGAAGGCTGGGTGGTAAAGGGCCTGGGGGTGGCACTGGAGGTCTAAGATTAACAGGTGGGGGACTCAGAATTGGTGGTGGGGGAGGAAGTCCAGGGGGAGGTGGTCCTTCAACAACAGGGGGTTGTGCTGGAAAAGGCAGAATGCCAGGAAGATTCACATCTTCTACAACTACTGGGTCACTGCCATGATCAAAAGGGCACATGTCTCCTCTCATACAGAAACCCTTTTCTGGAAAAAAAAATTAAATGTTAATAGCATTTAGCATCAGAGGTATGATCTTTAAGTATATAGCAGATATCCTTTACATAATACAGAACCTAGAAATTTAAAATCTTTGCCCAATTTTAATTACCTAGACTAGACATAATTAAATAGCCACTTAACATGATTGCTACTTAGCCTATTTATAAAGAGTTAACCATGTTAGTATGAAGTCAAGCAGAAGGCAGAGCAGAAGTGAACCTTCTAGACCATTTGAGCAAACTGCAAGTTCTCCACAGAAATCTACAAAACATCATAAAAGTTTAAGATTTTCCTAACAATTTCTGCACCAACAGTTGAGGATACACTAGCAGCAAACTGTTTAGTTTCACTGACAAGGAAAATAAGCACCACCGAAGCCAAACAGGCTATGAACATATGAGCTTGGAAACAAGATGGTCTGGATGCCTTGAAAAGACGCCCAAGTAAGGCACTCGAGACTTGGGTTTCCGAGAGGTTTAACAAGGCTACTGCTATTTCCATTATAAATATGTGCTGCATAGGAGCAGACATTGTTTGCTTGGCAGTGAGACCGAGCACCCTGCAGCTGTAACACTGACTGGCTACAGGAACTTAACAGAACAGCCAGAGAAAGAAACCTGGAAAATATAACGGCAGTCTTAAGGTGGAGAGAGACTTTCCAAGTATAATAATGGATATTACCCAGGTATAACTTCCAAATTCAATATAAACCCTGATAATTCTGTTTAGGTGCAAAAAAAATTAGCACGGACCAAAACCTTCTTTTGAAAGCTTCATTTTAAATGTTCAACATAGGAAATTTTGAATTAAATTGTCTATATTGCAATGGTTATCCAAAAGTATTGAAATGCTTTAGTACGCCTGTAAAAGTTTCTCTTTAAAAAATAAGCCATACACACAGCAGACAGCAAAAAGCATTTTTTAATCTCTTTTTACCAGTAGGTCCAATGTCACTTGCTTAAATAATACTCCCTGAAAGTATTGTAAGAAAACCTGCTCAATAAAACAGCAAGAGAAAAAAGTATTAACTATATTCACCTTAATAGACTATGTGGATAGAAAAAGTTTAGTTTCAGGAAGAATGTTATAAACAGATATTGGAAGACTCAGAAAACAAAACTGAATTGTTTTTATAAGAAAAATCATCATGACAGAGAAGGAAAGAGTATAAAAGGAGAAGGAAACAGTATAAAAAAGTAGGATTAGAGGGGCAGGGAATATGTCCTAGATGCTTAGAGAAAAATGAAGACAGCATCTAACCCTGAGAGGAGGAAGTAGATATGAAACTATATGTTCTCACAATGCTTAGGGTCAGAAGGGACCTAAACAGATCATCAGGTCTGACCCCCTGCCCCAGGCAGGAACAAGTGCTGGGGTCATAACATCCCAGCCAAATATCTAACCAGCCTCCTCCTGAAGACCCATAAGGTAGGAGAGAGCACCACCTCCCTTGGGAGTCCATTCCAGAGCCTGGCAGCCCTAACCGTAAAGTAAAGCTTCCCGATGTCCAGCCTGAACCTTCGCTCTTACAATTTGTGGCCGTTATTCCTAGTAATCCTCGGTGGTGCCCAAGGGAACAGAGCCCCCCACAAGTTTCCACTGGTCCCCCCTGGTGAGTTTGTAAACGGCCACCAGATCCGCTCTCAGCCTTCTCTTGTGTAGGGTGAATAGGTTCAGGCCCTTTAGCCTCTCTTCACAGGGCCTGCCCTGCTGCCCCTTGACTATGCAAGTGGACCTCCTCTGGACCCTCTCAATGCTAGCCACATCCCTCTTAAGTGCAGCGCCCAGAATTGGATGCAGCACTCTAAGTGTGGCCTGACCAATACCACGTAGAGGGGAAGGATCACCTCCCTGGACCTGCTTGTGATGTGGTTAGCCTTGTCTATAAGGAATTAGAACACACAAGCAGAGAGGCAACTCAAAGAAAGGTTCCACAGGGATTTGTTTTTTTAAATCAGAGCTGGAAATTGATAGAATATTAATGACAATCTAAAGGATAGTTTTATAGTAGTTTCTGGACACTTATTAGGCTTATTTTTGGAAAAGTAAAATCTGGTAAGATGTTGTATAGGATGGACTACATAAAAAAATAAAACAATATACTCTTTGGTATGGACAAATGCCTACATTAAAATAGGTTACCATAGAACATCTGATGTACAGCAGCCTTCAGAGAATCATAGAATTGGAAGGGACCTCCCGAGGTCATCTAGTCCAATGTCCTGCTCAAAACAGGACCATCCCTCCCAGCCAGGTCATCCCAGCCAAGACTCTGTCTAGCCAGGTCATAAATACGTCCAACGATGGAGATTCTACAACCTCTCTGGGTAACCCATTCCAGTGCTTTACTACACTCATGAGAAAGTTTTTCCTAATATCTAACCTAAGTTTCCCTTGCTGCAAGCTGAGACCATTGCTCCTTGTTCTCTCATCTGCCACCACTGGGAACAGTCTAGCTCAGGCTTGTCCAACATACGACCCACAGGTTGCTATGAGGCCCTCCAAGCTGTTTTCTGAGGCCCGAGGTGCTGCAACAGGAAACGAAAGTAAACACTGTACTTTCATGGGGGGGGGGGGGGGGG